TTATATATAATTGCAATGGCTAATGTCGTTATGTGACTTGTTTCTGACAATAATACTATAATTATAAACAATAAACATAATAATCCAGTCAGTTTTATTATTAATTTAGTTTTAAATAACAAATAAAATGAAAATTCATATATAATTAATATAATCAGCTTCAATTTATATCAGCTGTTTTCTTATTGCACCAATTTACCAATAAAATTTTGTTATAAATATTCCAAGCAAATATTCCACTATAAATCTATCCAGTATTACAATATATGACATAAAGTTGTTAATTTGCCAATATTATAAAATTAGTAAAAACTAAATTACGAATTTCATAAAGCGCGTGGCCTTGATTGTTTTAAATACATTCTGAGAAAAGTCAGATGCGCCTTGAAGAGCGGATTGGTGCATTTAAACTTTCGAAGCCATGCATTTCATTTCACGATAAATGATATCGCGGTAACCTGAAGCGGACCAGGTTCGAGAAAGACGTGAACTGCAAATTCAAATTCTACAGATTAGGCCAGGCAATAGGGAAGCAGCTGCGACTCCCATGCATCGTCTGACTAGACATCCTTCAAAAAGCAAACGTCCTCTCGATTGCGAAGTTTGTTCCCGAGCAGCGTTAAACCATCCATAAGAAAATACATAGAGCATGCAGTTGTGTGCGAAACCAACATCGTTTATCTTCAAGAGAGCTGGTGTGAATATTAGTGAGTCTATCTCGATGAAGAATCCCTTTATGCCTTGCTTTGAATTAACTAGGAAGGTATATTGGATCCGGTGATCGTTCGAGACGTTATCAAATGATTATTAAGCTAGGGGTTTCGAAGTAGCTAAAGATAAGATTTTTGTTTTTTTTTTTAATACATTAGTTCGGATAATATTTTCAACGAAAATAATATTCCGACCATGAAATTGAATGTTTTCTCAATATTTTAATGTATTCGCTAAGAATATTTGGTTTGATCATACAAATAACAAAAGCCTAATTATAATTTCGCCTAATAGTTAAATTTGAAGAGGCTGCAATTACAACGCGAATCAGTATTGAAGATAGCTAAAACGGAAAATCCGTTCGACAACAATATTAATTATAACGAAAAACTAATTCTCTGCGTGAGTTCATTAGATGACAAAACTATGTTCACGTACGTGAAATGATCGTTAACGGAGTATAATAATAATAATAGCATACGAATAATATCGAATTACTTATAAATACCAAGCATCGCTCGAGCCGACTTAATAAAAAAAAAAAGATTGATTATCAATTTCGAAACAGCGATGGCATTCGCTTTCTGTACTCGAGCAATAGTGAGAAGTACCCTTGATGAGAATTTTTTTAAGTAATGCGCGAATGAACGGACAACTGAGCTGATTATTAACTGATTACCGCAAGCGTGTTTTGATTATCGTTTTCCCGACACTCGAGCCTGACTAAAATGACAGAATTATTACAAATGGCGATTAATAAGCATCATCGACTCTTGAATTGCTTTATGCTTGATATTAATTGCGTTGAAGTAAGCTTATTATTTATCATTTCACTTCGTAATCAAATTATGGTTTTAAATCGATATTTAGGAATCAAGGTTTAAATTTTCCCAATATTTTTCCTATGGATAAGTGAGTTAATTTCGAGTTAAATTGAACATTAATATCTGAAAAAAATATGTAATATTAGAAATAAATAATTTAATGTATATATTGACTAAAAAATCTGCAAAATTTGTTTAAAGTATTAAATCTTTATTTATTTGTACTGTGATAATAATTCGCTCATTAAGCATTTTAATGAACCTATCTGTTACATTGATTTTAATAATGTTGAAAGGATGAATAATTTGATTAAATAAGGATGAATAAGGTACGCATGAATCTCGGACCCTGAATTTACTTTCCCAAATACAACTAATTACACTCGTTATCTAATTATCTTTATTCTTATTGGATCTAGAATTTTTATCGCCAAGATGGACCTCGACTTCTGGAACAAAATTAAGAACTACTGAAAACTCAACGTGAATGAAGTCGTACATTTGTTTTTTACATTTACGTGATTAGCTTTAGGGTTCGGAGTTTTTATAATTCACTATAAGCGTTCAACAGCCAAAATATTTATATTGTTTCTTAACAAGAAACATTGCTTCTTATCTTCTACTAAATTTACAAAAGGTCTTTAAAAATTTAATAAGGAAATGCATTAATAATATTATTTATGTAATCCATTCGATTTTACATAATAAATGTTCAGATCATTAAGGCTCGTAATTTAATAAAATTATATGCTGCTATATAAGTTTAATATTTCAACAAATTATTATACATTCGATAAGAAATATTAGAATTACAAAGGATAGGAAAATTAAGTAGTAAAATAAATAAGCTATTAAAAAAAAAAAAAAAAAAACAATTATTTTAAAGATATCAATTATTCAGTACTTTTATATCTGCAGATATTTATAATTATAACGTTAGAATGAAATATAACGATCTAAATAAATGAATTAATTGGCATTATTAGGCTTCTATTATTAAAACTATTTTTGTCAAATATATTCATTGATAGATTCTAAAATAAATATAGAAAATAAAAATAAACAGCAAATAAAATGAATCAATTTAAATGTTAATGACATTCCCGAAAGTAGTTTTATTTTATGATTATAACGATTAATGCCGAAAATCGAATATACAATTAGTATCACTTGCAATTACATTGCACGCTTAATAGAAGGATGAATAGTTTATTAATGATAATATTTAATGACATTAATTAAGAATTGAGCATAGATATTATACATTTACACTTATAAACTTGGTTATCGATGCATAATTATATTCCTCAAAGTATAATATTTCCAATGTAAAGAAATTTCGAAAAAGAAAAACAAGAAAAATTACATATAAATAAATCAATATAAAAAATATATCTAAATAATAATGTAACAATATCATAAATGAGTATTCTGTTGATAATAATAAAAAAAATTTTAAAGAAAAAATTAATTGCCATTAAAATCATATGTATATATAAATGTATGTGTATAGATATGTATATGCATATATCCAAATGAAAACAAATATATATATGATTTTAATAAAAATCACTGCTGATTATAATGGAACTATAATACAGAGCGAAGATAAAGAAGTAACGATAAATATGTTCAATATTAAATAAATGATAGACCAACAACTTCTGTAATATCGATAATATAAGGGAGAAATTAATCTATGGCATTGCTCTTTATAAAAATAATCATTATTTCTTGTAATATTTTGTTTTTCATCAGAAATTTATCGAATATCTAATAATATTATTAATACATTGATATTTAAATTTCATAAATTTCATTTATTAGAAATGTTTCCATAACTAAACAAAACAGTGGCATTTCAAGACCATTACGATCCATAGAATATAATACTTTATTTTAAACAAATCAATAGTGATAAAGACAGCATTCGTTAAATTAAATCATCCGCATCTTAAGCCATTGTTTAAGTATTAATATACTTCCATGACGAATTGTTATTAAACAATAGCACACGTGTAATAAATAATGACATTAAAAATATATAAAAAGAAAAGAATAAAAAAATTAATAAAACGAATAATTTTTAAGTTTATACGTAGAGAATTAATTATTTGGATAGAAAACTGATATTAAATAAATTTCTTTGACATCACATCATCATACTTCTTGATCTATACGTTTACCGTCCTATTTCATTAAATATACAAAGAAAATAATTAAAATAATATATTCCAAATTCAATATATATTTTTTATTTTAATAGTAATAAAAATTATCGAATAAAATTTTTCGTAACTGAAAATAATACCATTGAAGTTGAAATATTGTACCATAAGTGATTCAGTTATATAAAATTGGTGTAAATGAGTATAAATATTAATTATAATTACAGAACAAGAAATTATGGTTACATTTATTTGAATTATATAAACATTGTCCTAAGCATAAATCGATACCATTTAAAATCTCCTTTTAAAAAATCTGTAAGAAATATCAATTACTATTGGTAGGATAAAAGCGATTTTATGATACGTGTTTATAATATTTTTTTCCTATTTTAGAAAATATATAGTATATCATACATATAAAATACATAAAATACATTATGATAAGTTGATTTAATTTAATGGCATAGTGAAACGATGATTAATTTTTTATTTTTTAATGTAAAATGTTAATTTAAGCAATTTTATTGAAGAAAAATTGATGGGGTCAACAACGGGATCAACAATTATTTATATTATTTAACATAATAAGAAGATTTTCAAAAGTTTTATGAAAATTAAGCTATTAATGATATTAAGTTGTAATACTGCAATATTCTTTTTAGCTCACAGCTACATAAAAAAAATTAATAATATTATTTGATGCCTCTTTCTCCTTAAATGAATTTAAACGAATAATACGCATGACTCGAGGTTTTTGAAATACACACAAACACAAGCAATAACAACGATATTTTGTATACTTCGATTGTATTTTCGCTTACAAGATTCGCGTGTAACTTTGATTCTCTCATTTTCACTTTCTAAATTTAAATCTTTGAACAGTTGTCAGCTTTCTTGTGCAGATTCTCAGAAGTGCTCAGCTTTTAACTTGGGTGGTAATATATAAGTAGATATTGTGAATAAAAACATCGTTAATGATACTGTATTTAATAAATTCGACAATTATTTAACACGTTGCCTCATCAAGCGTTTGGATCGTAGTGGGCATTGTAAAAAAAATTATTTTGACTCAGGGAGGTCTTACGATTGGGTTACTCTTTACATCTCCGGGATGCTTTTCACGAGTAGTCGATAAGTCACCCCCTCCCTCAAGTGTAACGCGGGTATCTCGCGATTTATCTCGCTGTTTTTCTTAGCTTCAGTAATTTATCACTTAGTTGATTAACGGCAGAAAATAAGCATTCGAAATGAAAATTCAAATTGCAGCCGTTTACGCAAGAGCGTAGGCAGGAGGGACAGGGAAGGGGTTGTTAGCGGGTATATAATTGAACGGTATAGAGGCGGAGGTCGGCAATTCGATTCAGTTTACTAACGCCGATCACTGTCACAAAATGGATTCATTGAGCGTCGAAAAGATCCTCGAGGACAACATCCCAGAGCAGCTCCTGGGGAAGGTTAAGCGCGTGATCTATGGACGGGATCTGCAGTAAGTGAGGGTTCCTTTTCTCTTGAGCTGCTGTCGTTATGTTGCGAAGAATTGGACTTTTCTCTGGATATTTATTTAGTCGTATTCTAGAAATGATTAACGATGTATCAATATGACTGTTTTTACTGCTCGTGTGCTCTAAAGCTTAAGCCAAAAATCATATTTTTTTAAATTTTGTATTATATTTATTTCTTTTAAATTGTAATTTGCTTGTGTGCGATTCAGGTGAAAATTTGGAAATATTAATAAAGTTCGATCGTTAATATTATTTGTGTATACCTAATGTACACGAGCATGAATCACCAACGGATATTAATTTCTAAACTGCTAATTTATTCATACAATTGTTAATACATATACAATTGTATGGTATTGTATATTGTATTATACAATGATTATGTTGTTGTGTTACATTATATTATATTATATTATATACGCTATATACAATTTAAGTTCAATTCAAAATTTACTTTCTTCTATTTTACGATATTTTATTTACTAAAGCAATCTTTAAAACACCTAATATCTTCAATTTATTCATATTCACATACATAATTATATTTATATAAAAAACTTGCCACTATGTATTTTGAAAAAATATCGAAACAATTATATTAATATTTAACAACTTCAATATTCATTATTATAGAGTTTGAAATTTATTATAGAATATTATAGAATTTGTAAAAATAATGTATTTTGTATTGTAATCGTAAATCCATTGATAATAGGAAATAATAGCGCAAGTAGAAAAAAATATATTCATGGATCATGATATACCGCGTATAATTTTTCAGAATTTTTTTGATATTTTAATAATCTTTGTAACGAATATGAATATAATTACGAATATTTAGTGTTGAATTTTGTTAAAAGTAATGATTAAATTAATGTTGATAATCAAACCAAGAGATTACGTATTCTAAAAGAACTATTTAAAAAAAATTTTTAATATACAAATTCATATGTCAACTGCCACCTACAAAGTTCAATGAAAAATATTGTTTTTAAATGTATTAATAAACACAGATAATATGTTTGTGAAGTATATTGGAAAAATGTAAATAGTTGTACACCGAGTTACCGAAATACTATATTATTGTGAATGATAATACATTTATTACGTTACAAGTAAATATAGAAATAAAAATAGTTGAATATATTTGATGAATTTTTTGAAAAAAATTTCTCTCCATTCATTACAGAATATCAAATAAATTCAAAAGTGTGCTTATAAATAAGAATAGTATAATTTTTTGCCTAAAAAATTAACGGCTTTGCACGATGTGAGCATGTTGTAACGATGTTGTGCTCAGCGAGTTAACAAACAATGGCCAAAATTGGATTAAGAATGTCGTTAGCGTCGAATTGCTTACTCAACCATAATACTTGACAGGCTAAACCAGTTAGTCTAATATGCATAATTTAGCATGTCTATGCAAGTCTATTCTATGAAAATGTGCGACAATGTGTAATGATAGGCATTGTCGATCTTTGAAGTTTCTCACCCCACGTGCCCGAAGTCAACGAATCCACATTTAACATAATGCATTTAAGGGTATCGATTATCGTAGGTCAATTCAGCTGCCAACTCTGGATAAAAATTTGCAATGCGAGATTAAAGGTTACAAGATGGGGGGCGCCCGGGCGGAACAGCTGCGCGATCCGCGAATCGTCCGGGTTGGCCTCATCCAGAATACGATCGTCCTGCCTACCTCGGAGCCGATCGCCGATCAGAGGAAAGCGATACACGATAAGGTCGGCAAGTACATCGAGCACGCGGCCAAGTGCGGCGCCAACATCGTCTGTATGCAAGAACTTTGGAGTGAGTATTAGCGTGGATACTCAAGGATTTTTGTTGGTCTTTCGTTTCCTTTTTGCGAGTCCACGAATAATCTGTATGATTATCCGTGCTATCTGGAAATCACTTTTCATCGATCGATCAAAATTTAGTATAATACAGAGTTCAAATTTTTTATTCAGTGAATTTTAAAAGAAATTTCATTGTAATTTATGCTAATTTATCGCGGATTGATTAAATTGTGAAAAGTAGCTTATTAAATAATTTAACGAAATTCTCTTAATTATTATATCGCTCATTATGTATTAAATAAAATATGAGAATTATATATATATACATAAAATATATAATTTTTAATTTTCTAACTGTAAGAATTACTAGAATTTTCTCTTTTAACGTGTCGCGTCCCACATTAATTACATACAATATATTCTTGATGTATTATTCCAGTGTATTAATTAACACATTAAGTCGAATACTCAAATTTCATTGATAATACAATTAATTTTAATAATGCCTGCCGCAACCTTGAAAAGTAGACGAATTATGTATATTCGTAAAGGGTTCGTTGTAAAATAGATATTAAATTCTAAAAACTCTGCGAAAAATAATCTAATAATAAATAACTATTATAAATAAAGAAGATCTATATGATGTAATAAGTTTTAATTTATTCGAATAAATTATTGATTTATTCAACATTTATTTATCCTTTTATAAATCACGCTGCACTTATCATCGTGATTAATGATTTTCATAAGCTGAAAATTTTAACAAGAGTTAAATAAAAAAAGCATTGAAAATTCGAAAATCAATCTGTTAAAGTTTTATCGCTATATTAGGACAATGCAAATGGCTCAGAATCGTAAATTTGCTTAATCGTTAAGTAAACTGTCGCATAGTTTCTAAGAAGAAAGAAATTAAATAATCCATCACAATGACGTCATAGCCACATAAGAATGTTTGAAATTTAGCTATGCCGATGGGTTTCTGCACGCGCGAAAAGTATCCATGGGCGGAATTCGCAGAGGACGCGATAAATGGCCCAACGACAAGCCTCGTGTCAAAACTCGCCCGTAATCACGGCATCGTCGTCGTCTCCTCGATCCTGGAACGCGATAGCACCAACAGCGACATCCTCTGGAATACGACGGTTGTCATCGACGCCAATGGTTCGGTCCTCGGTAAGCAGAGAAAAAATCACATACCACGTAACGGGGACTTCAACGAGTCGACCTACTACATGGAGGGCAACCTCGGACACCCGGTCTTCAAAACCAAATTTGCCAAGATTGGCGTCGTCACCTGCTACGGCCGACATCATCCTCTCAACTGGCTCATGTATGGCATTAATGGCGCCGAGGTAGGCTTTCCCTCTCATTTTCTTCAGACAGGTGGTTTATCTCGCTTTTTTATCGATTTACTCTTACATTTCGTAAACCATACCACATTGATCAACTATACCACCGAGTTTCGTTCACCTCCCTCTTCTTAGATCGTAAGTCCGTTGTCAATCGTGGAGTCACGCGTTCGTGATCTTTCATTATCCACTGGAGCGAACTTAACGAGCCCGATTGTTTGCCCTCGCAACGAACAAAATCTGCCCGAAAAAGAAGCCAAGCTAAGATTATTATTCGGACATTGTAAATAACCAAGTCGTCGCCTTCGCAGATCGTGTTCAATCCTTCGGCAATAACGTCGGAGAGTTTCGAGACTTTATGGCAGATCGAGGCTCGTTGCGCCGCCATCTCCAACAGCTACTACACGTGCGCGATCAACCGGGTCGGCACGGAGGTCTACCCGCAACCCTTCACCTCGGGTGACGCGAAACCCCCCCATAAGGATCTCGGTGAGTTCTTCGGCTCGAGCTACGTCACTGCCCCCGATGGCACTCGCACCCCGGGTCTCGGGCGCTGCAGCGATGGCATCCTCATCGCCGAAATAGATCTCAACCTCTGCAGGCAGATACGAGATCTCTGGAACTTCCCGGTAAGCAACGATCTACGTTATTTTCAATCTGCCATGCGTTTATTAAATAAATAAAATATATGCTACAAATTTGAAATTCAACCTAATCAAAATTTTGTTTATATACTTATCGATATTTGCACACACGCACACACGCGCGCGCGCGCGCACACACACACGCACACACACACACACACACACACGAGACTATACAATTATTTATCACAGTCAAGATTATTTCCATTAAATCGCAATTTCATTAATAATGGTAGTTATTAATTAATTACTCTTATCAGTTAACATCGGCTAACATATAGTCATTTACCCACTTATAAACAAGCTTATAATGTTTGTTTGACCGTTTATTATGTATATTAAGGACTTGTGTACAGACGTGTCTGATAATTAACTTTATATCACTTTAATCTTGTGCTCCTAATATAATGTGCTACTACATCTCTGTTTAATACACTAACAGAATAGATAGCATAATATCTGTTAAAATATTTAATTCTTATACGATACTTAGAACAAAATTTAACCTTCCTTTTTATTTATACAAGATCATCAGACAAATTAAATAAAGTTTCTCGTATTATAAGCATTTTTCATTTTTCAGATGACTCGTCGTCTGGATCTATATGCTCATAAACTTACCGAAGCAAGCAATCCGGACTTTCAACCACAAATCATTGATAAATAAATCATTTCGCTCGTTCAATAATACACATTACGATTACGGCAAATGTATTATAAAAATTTTTATGATTTTCATACGCGTTTGTTCAATAAATTTTTAGCGAGTTTTACCAACATTAACGTTACCTATATTACATTTCTATTTACGAGCTTATTATGTCTAAAATAATGTTGTAAGACATTTTTAATCGTTACGATTATTGAATCTCACATTTTTCATGTAATCTTAAGTCTTTTTAATAAAAATGTTTTTAATAACAACAACGTTTTTATTCTATTTATTTGAAATTATTTTTTACTATATGCCATGTTGCTAAAAATGTATGACGTTTTTTTATTTCAATTTATTCAAATATTTTAATGTTGTAATGGGTGACTCGAATGTTTTTATTTCTTCTTCTGTGGTTGTTGTCTCGAACATTATATATAAATTAAAGTTCTGACTAAAGATTCGTTTACAACTGCAGCGTATAAATTATTACATTTGGACAATATATTGGTGTTTCGGGTTTTTTTTTTTTTTTTTTTTTTGTTTGTTTGTTTCTATTAAAAACTAAATAAACTAAATTCAATAAAAACTAAAAATATCTTTACAAATTTAATTAAATTATTTATTAGTTACTTAATTGTTTGCAACATGCATTCTTTTATTTATTTATTTTTTTTTTAATTAACATTGTTATTAAACCCATCGAATTAATTTTATTTAAATACCTTGTTAATATAATTATTAGAGCATTGAAATGATTGGAGAGTATACAATCGATGAGTTAGCATAACAAAAGATTCATCAAAGAAATATTTCATTAAGAAGAAATGAATAAATTCGTTTTATCCATCAGTTGGCGAAAAATTCAACTTTACAATTCCAAGACGATGTTTCATTAAAGCAATATAATTTTGTCTACATTATTTATTTGAAATTGTTACGTAGGTCAACGGGAATTCTGATATTTCGTACTGTTTAATGTAAAATCGACGAAGAGTTGCGTTATAAGCTTACGGTAGGTATAAGAACGAACTCGTTGATTATAAAAACAACAGCACTTTCACTTGCGTTCAAAAATAGCTTTCTCTATGTAATTTGCCTTTATTTACTTTTGACCAAGCTTGTACGCACACAAAATTGAAATATTTAAGTACTGACTATAAGGATCTATACACGTAAGAGACGAAGGCAAAGCGTAACATCTCATTGGTCGTCCCCCCACTTGCGCTCGAACTCAGTTGATATCGACTTCGTTTTGCATTTGCATATATTAACAGCTGATTAAAATTGTAAGCTACAATCTTCTGCTGGACGAAGCTTATGGCGTATCGTTGATTGACTTTTTTTTGCGTATCGCGGTTAATTTACATTAACATTTTTATGATTTATTGTTGGATAAAAGTTTCGAATGATGGAAGAAAATCCGTAAGTTTTAATAAATTCTTTTGGTATGTGCAATCGTTATATTTGAAAATTCTTCATATTATTTTACTATTTTAAGACATTTAATCATTATTTAAACGAATGTGAAAGTAGAATTATGTATAATCGTTTGATGAAAATGGTTAATTTCAAGTTATATGATAATTTCAATTTATCAATTATTTTTTATATTTTTAAAATTTTTCTTTCAATATCAATTATATTAATTGGTTAATAAACAAAAAATAAATGCTACATAATTTAGGCAGTTATTATGTCCTTATTTTCTTTTTCCTCTTTATTTGTTATTTATTTATCATTTGAATTTTATTTTTCATCATCAGCGTGCAATATTTTATTGAGATTTTATATTAATGCAACTGATGCAATACTATTTTATATAAATATATATATATAAGAAATTAAAATAGTAATATTTCATTTGAAATATAAATTTGAAAAATGAAAATACGTAATAACAATATCAATGTCATTAATATATAAACTCACATATTTTGTATATTTTTTTGTCTTTATATTTTGGTCTATTCGTAGCTGATTTTTGTGTACACGAAATTGCAAATATAAATTGGCAAAGTGGTTGGTAAGAATAAAAAAGAAAAAAAAAGAAAAAAGAATAACGTAAAGCTCTCCATTGTTATTCCGGTGGTATTGGAGTAAATGAGGAGTTTCATACAAGCGTGAAATACTACATGAATATCGTGTTAATTGAAAAAATTAAAAGATGATGAATCACAAATTCAGTGAATTGACACTAGAAGACATCCTGGATGTAGAAATCAGCGACTCGAGCAAACCGTTCATCACCAAATTGATTTATGGTCGGGAGTTGAAGTGAGTATACGCTTAATGCTATTATGAAAAATAGCATTTATAAATGTACAATCTAATGTTATTATTATAATTCACTATTGTATCCTAAAAATAATCGAGACACTTTTTGTAATGTGTCAATTACAATACAACACACTGACCTCAAATTGTTAATATCCATTAGAATGAACTTATAACGGACTCTTTTTGTATAGTAATTGCGCGATAATGCAGAGATAAAAATTGATATTTTATTATAGCTTGTCATAATGCACTTATTACGTTATTAAAGCCGTACAGAAGCATTTATGATTTAAGATTTTTACATTCATTAATTAAAATATTTAAGATTTACCGATAATTTATCCATTTCAAAAATTAAAGGATTTGTATTGATAACAAATATACAATTCGTCACTATTTTTTTTATTTTTATTAAATTTATTTATTTAACGTCTATTAAGCAAATCAATCAGTTGCATCGAGTATCGATGTTTTAAGTTCTTCCATTTTTCAAATTATTTTTCAGTACTAGTAACTTTATGCTACAAGTCTTTTTTTCCATAGCGATTTTTCCATACAGCTTCTTAAAGATTATTATTATTACATCTCAAGCAAATACAATCGCACAACTAAATTGCCTAGCTATTACGTGTAGATAATTGTGCAAAGTCAATTGTTTTCTTCGTCTTCTTTTAGTTTCAATATACTTCTGTAGACACAGTAATTTTCTCTGTGAAGGTGTTGATTTTACACCATTTGAGGTTGGCTGCGTATTCAAAATTTAAAAAGTACATTACACATTGACTTAAGGACTTTAAAGAGCCGCTAGACTCTTTGATGTAAACCATAAACTACAGGAAAGTCATGCACATAGGAAACTAGATATTCCTACGCTGGAAGATGACAAATGCGAGGTGGTGGGTTGGCATTTGGGCGGCGCCCGGGCGGAACAGCTGCGCGATCCGCGAATCGTCCGAGTTGGCCTCATCCAGAATACGATCGTCCTGCCTACCTCGGAGCCGATCGCCGATCAGAGGAAAGCGATACACGATAAGGTCGGCAAGTACATCGAGCACGCGGCCAAGTGCGGCGCCAACATCGTCTGTATGCAGGAGACTTGGAGTGAGAATTTTTTTGATTATACGATAACGACCAGTTAAGGTCAAAGTTTCTCAACTATTCTCGTCAATCAAATATATTTTCTAATCACTGTGAAATGACGGATGTGTTCTTCGTACGTTTATCGGTGATAGTAACTTTTTAATTATTCCTTGCTCAATGTGCTCAAGTCGCACACAACTCTTTCCGCCAATAATTATGGGATGTAATGTCGGAGTCGAGCATCGTTCGGGAGCCCATGGAAGCGCGGAAATGAAATTACGAAATAATTTTAGCAATGCCGTTCGCTTTTTGTACGCGCGAAAAGTATCCCTGGACGGAATTCGCCGAGGAAGCGGAGAGCGGGCCCACGTACAAGCTGCTTTCGACTTTCGCTCAGCGTTACAATATGGTGATAATCTCGCCGATTCTGGAACGAGACATTAACAAAGACGACGTTATCTGGAATACGGCGGTGGTAATCGGCACCGATGGTCTTATTATCGGCAAGCACAGGAAGAATCATATACCCCGCGTAGGTGACTTTAATGAGTCGACCTACTACATGGAGGGCAATACCGGACATCCCGTCTTCGACACTCCTTTTGGCAAGATCGCAATCAATATCTGCTATGGCCGACATCATCCTCTCAACTGGCTCATGTTTGGTATTAACGGTGCTGAGGTGAGATGACTTTTATATCGACATTCCATAGTATTAGGTACGGTACATTAATTCGATAAGCAGGCAAACATTAATTTACGGTAAAAAAAAAAGCAGATTATAAACAGATTTGTAATTATGATGCTTGCGAATGGATATTAGGAGAGTATCTATTAATATTTAAAATTACGGCTATTTGAAATTTTGCTTTCCTATATAAAATGCAAATATTTTCAAATATTTCGAATTTATTATAACGATTAGCCGTGATATTTGATGTATGGAATTGCAAGGAACATAGCCAATTACTACGAAAGCACAGTTCTTCTTTCAAACATGTATTTTTAACTTATAAAGTAAACTTATAATAAAATGAAAAACTGCACGTTAAGAATATTTAAAATATCTTTCACTACTTGGTCATATTATCTATCACCGAGAAACTTATCTCTTGATTTATAATCAACCATTACGTAGTTACGACTATATCGCATTAATTATTTAATGATAATTAATAATGCATAAGACAGTCGATCGCATATTAAAGCGACTATTCGTTTGAATGTCAGATTGTATTTAATCCTTCGGCAACGGTGGACAATCTTTCGGAGCCGCTATGGCCGATCGAGGCTAGGAACGCGGCGATAGCCAACAGTTACTACACGTGTGCCATCAATCGTGTCGGCACTGAACAGTTTCCCAATGAATTTACATCGGGCGACACGAAACCCGCACACAAGGAGTTTGGCCACTTTTACGGCTCGAGTTACGTCACAGCGCCCGATGGCGCAAGAACGCGTGGATTATCTCGATACAAGGACGGGCTTCTGGTTGCCGAACTTGATCTGAACTTGTGTCGCCAAACGAAAGACGAATGGGGATTTAAGGTGAGTTTAACGTTTGAGGATTTTACAAAATTCTTATTAACTTTGAAAGATTTTTAATCCCGCGTTTAAGATGCGATGGCCACGAGTGACCATGAAAACAAAGTTTTTGATGTATGGTCCGATATTTGTTAATTGTGCATTATTTTGCCATTAATGAGATGGTAAAACTGTATTTCGAATTATTATTTTAATGTCAATTGTTTTTACATAGAATGATGATGTCTAATATTTGCTCGGAAAAATCGTACATATTGAAATTATTGGTGTGTGTGTGTGTGTGTGTGTGTGTGCGTGCGCGCGCGCGCGCGCGCGTGCGTGTGTGTAAGAAACGTACACGAGATTACATAAAAACTGCACAAAATTTTGATTTATTTAGAATATTTAACACATAACATATTTTTTAATAGTACATTTATGAAACACATCGTTGTATTTAAACTTTCAATTCATTATATAGTTAAAAGACTTATTATTTTTGCAATAAATAGGTATTAAACTACATACAAGTTCATTGTATTAAAACTTGTACATCACCACTGCTCGTTTTATCTGACACTAAAACACGTGTCTTATAAAATAAAGACGATTCCAATACATGGATATATTATTCTAATCATAAAAAGATAAAAATAGACGATTTTGGTCCACGAATTGCGAAATTAAAAAAAAAAACACAATGTTTCTATTCTTCATATTAATAATGTACTTGATATGTAATATTTAAAATTATCTTTAAAAATCTTTCAGTTTATGTAATATAAACTTTGGCTTTTTAACTTTGCAGATGACTGAAAGATTGGATATGTACGCAAAGAAACTTTCTGAAGCATCACAGACCGGTTTCAAGCAGCAAATCCTTTGAAAATTAAGACTCAAAAGAAGGAAATTTAATATGATATTATAAAACAATTTACTGTAAATGTATAAATTGAGTAAAACATTTTTTTTTCAAAACCTTTGTAAGGATGAATATTCTTATACGGACAAACATTTAATCAAATGAATGATCTTCTGAGGTGATAAAATAAACTTTATACGAGAGTATTATTTTATCCATTAGAAATTAATTATATTATATAATTATCAATCGCTTGCCGGTGTATTCAGAGCTGAATTTCGCGTTTGTTTTTGGTAAAATAACGCTTCTTGATAAGCCTTCTTTACTGCCTTCCTGTCTGTAGGTTTACGGGACTCTATCAATTTTCCATCATCCAGCTCCTGCGATACCCCAAGAGGCTCTAACTTTTCACCAGGTAACCATTGCCTAGAAATACAAATCAAAGCTGTTTTACCTCGCCTCGGCATTGCTTCTCAAAACATAAAACTAACACAAATCCATTTAAGGTCAAATTGAGTATTAAATATTTTAATTATTATTAAATTAGTCTCGATTCCGTACACGAGTAAGATCATCGATATGTCATTAAATTTTTCGTACTAACCGTTTGTGCTTCTTAATATCGAAACATGCTTAAAGATGTAAAATTTTTTATATTACCGAGATATTGTGGCACGCAATGTCAAATCGAAAATATAAAAAGTACAATGATTTAATTCTACTTATAAATCATCCTTCTTTTTAATCAAAACATTAATAAAGTGATCTCCGACTCGGCGATCTAGCATTAAAAATACCATTTTATTAAAATCCGTAATAATGAGCGAACGTACCAGGTTCTTTTTGTGTCAAAAAAGAGAACGAGGTAGACGGTGTCCTTATAGTTACTGGCCAGGGCGAGAACGTCGTCGGGAGGCGAGGGTATGGGTACGCCCTTATGAATCGTGCCTCTGGGTGTATTGGGGTCGATAATAAGAGCGGGGTACCAAGGGTAGCCCCGACATTTGGCCCAAACGAGCTGTAGTGCCGCCAACGTTCCATTGCTGTCTGTCTCCATTTTATTGCTGTTGTCCTGAGTCGCGTGTTTCGTTACCTTGGGTCTGTGCAATGGCGATTCGTTACCTTCCTCGGCGTCGTCATCATGCTCGGGACTTGTCGAGCGGCTAGTCGAGCAACTGCTACAACTCGACGATTGGCTCTCACGCTCACCAATATCGCTGTCCGTTGCTCCGCTCCTGTTGGCAGGGATCAATCCATTACACGAGTTTCCACGGTACAAAGGACTTTATTTGTTCAACAAAGAAGCGCGTTAGATGGCCTACGAGTGCCCTTAACATCATCTCGTTTCCATAAACTCTGAACTTTTAAGCGTCGTAATGGGAAGAGGGGGGGGGGCGGTCAGTCGAGAGATAAAAATGTATATTCGTAAGTGTAGATTGTTTCGTTGAGATGGATGGATCTGGACTGAGATCTAGAACGCCACGAACCTGTAAACCCTGAAGCTGTCGCTCTGCTTCTTCTGTTCGTTCTCGGGACTGGTTCGGTGTATCTGGCCACGACTTGCTCTAGCTTTGGCCTTGCGTGTGAAGAGAACTGCGGTGCGTCGATTGACACCACCGGTACTAACGCCTCCGGTACCAACGGCGCTCGTACCTCCAAGACTCGCACTTGAGACAACAGGCGAGTTGTCCTTTTCACCACTGAATTTACGGTCAAAATAAACATTAGTTGTATACGCTGCTGTATAATATTATCAATACATTTTATTTACTTTAATAAAACATTGATCGATGCTGTACATAAAATATATATATATATATATATATATATATATATATATATAAATTACATATTTTCCATTATAATAAGTTTTTTAAAATGTTGACGTAATGTTGCATGCTATTCGACGATTCAAAATTTATGCCCAATCGATGCAATTTTTTTCAAACTGAATTTTAACAGCTTGGATCGAACCTTATATGACGTGACGTGATCACGTGACGTATTAACCATTACGCTATCGTTCTCTCTCTCTTTCTCTCTCTCTCGTTTCAGTGCCATAAAAAAACATACTATTAAACGTACGTTACATTCGTTACATTTACATACAGCCAGTACAATTATAAAAATTTCGTATCTTCTTACAAGAATATGAACAATACCCAGTAAACATCGAAGAAGATTCTTGGTAGACTCAATACGTATAATAAGTGCAAGTTAAGCATTGCGCGAAGTGCGCATAATTACCTAACACGCGACTCGGAGTCGTTTCGAGTTCTCGCACTACGCTCGCGCTTTCTCGCCTTGGAGCCGGTACTGACGTTGGTCTGCTGCAACTCCATCTCAGTGATAAAATCTTCGGGCGCTGGAGTGTCCATCTCCGGATAGTCCTTGCGCGCCTGCTCGATGAGGCAGCCACCTTGTTCGCGCATCCTAACACCCGCTCGGTAGAACATCGTGTCTTTGCGATTATAGGCCAGACAATTATTCACCATGAGGTTGAAATCTGACTCGAACGCGGCTATGGAGTCATATTCCTGCCGCTCGACTTTAGTCTAAGAATCATTTTTAAAACATTTGATTATAATTTGTTATCTCTGTCTTCTTCTTCTTTTTTTAAAGAAAAATTCGATTGGTCTAAGGATATGAAATTTAAAAAAAAAAAGCTCTAATAATCAATGTAATGCAAGGTACAGTCAAATTTAGCAATATTTTTTGTAAGAACCTCCTTGAATAAAAACATTGAATAATCATCAACGTTATATTAAATTTATTAGTGAAATGGAAAATATTAATAAACAAGCAGGCACTTTAAATGCAGTTGTAAATAAGTATATCTTTAATTGCAAAATGACAAACCTCCATAGTTGAAAGATCCATAGGATGTGTTACGATATCAAGATAATCGGGTACTTCTTCGATGTTTACAGGTTGTCCAAAGACTTCATTAGGATCACGCAATTTCAGTGCTTCCAGCAATACTCTTAAAACACTTTCGAGCGGTCTTAATTCGAACCAAAGACACTTTTCTTTCCTGCGAATAAAAATGAACGATTACGTTTGTTTCTTTTAAGAATTGATTTTTAAGAGAAATGCGAAAAACCGCGTAAGAAACTGGAAGCTCAATTTCATATCTTTTATTTGCACATGCATAATTACGAAGTAACATTTTTCACTTATATCCTTGTAATTATAATATCGCAAAAGTATCCGAGGCTTCATTATTTACTCCCAACCTTGACTCACACTTTAAACAGCTCTTTCTTCAGTTTCTCCCGCTTCCTCACGAGCTCGCAGAGTAATCTAGCCCTCTCAAGGTCCTGCCTGAGACACTGCCAGTATTTGAGCTGTTTGTACATCTCGTTGCGTATTTCGCCGTCGGGAGTTGGCGATGAGGCATCTCCAAGTGACGGTGGCACTCGTGGGTGTGGATGCGAGCTTTGTAGACGTCTAAGTAACGGCACACCATTGCGATATTGTCGCTTGAGGGTCCAATAAGCAATCAATCGCTGAATCAGTTGGTTTTTCTTTGGCAAACCCTCCGCCAGGCTATATGTGTTTGAAATAATTTTCGTCGTTTAACTCACAATCAATTCGGTATGAATATACAGTTTTAAATAAATTAAATCTAAATACGAGATGAAAGCACTTAAAGTTTAAAGACAGAATTTATTCATGCAAGTTTTTTTGTTTTTGTTTTTGTTTTTAATCGAAAACTTGAAAAACATATTATTTAATTGTATAAGTTTATCATTATTTGCTTACTTTTGATTGCCAATTAGTTTTACTAGTAGATTGATTGGTGTTATTAACAAAGTTTTTCTTTTTCTTTGATATAAGAAACATAATATTCATAAGCAGACTAAGGTAATTTTGAAGTTAAAATTTGAGTTGACAAATGTTTATAAAAGTATCCTGAAAATCATGTGTCGATCCACGATAGATTAAAAAAGAAAAGAAAAAAAAAGTCAATAAGACAAAACACCGTATTAGTAGTTAGAATTTACTTAAAATATAAGGATATCACAATTTACAATGAAGAAAATATTATTATTCTTAATATACTTTTAAGCTTTGCTGCTAATAACAATACATAATTAGGAGATTAGCAAGCAAAGCTTGTAAATGTTATATTTGATAAGCATTCGTAAATTACTTTAAAATCAAATATGTTTAGCGTAGAAAATCTCAATAAATAGGCTTTTCATGTTTACCATATGGTGCAAAGCCCCGTCTGGATTGTCTGATCGACAAATACCAAAGTAAAAATCATCGCTGGTTAAGTGAAGCTTCCATCGTCATTCTGATAAATCTCATTGGGGCAATTTTAATAAGACTATTTACAATTTTCTCAACGAACCTGGCAATCTCACGAATGCGCTCCGGTGGTATGGTGGGTATGGATATGACGGGTGCGCTGGAACTCTTTTTGTTTGCGATGGCTCGCCTCCTGGCATCGGCTGGATTCGTGCTTGGTTGGTAATCCGGTGGCGCATGGGTCTCGCAGTAGGCCGTCTTCTGGACGAGCATTGGCTCGCCGTTGGCTGGTTGTACGGTACGCATGCGCATGCAGAGACCAGCCTGCTGGGCACAGGTGACGTGGAAGGCCGCGTAACAATTGCTTTTGTGGCACTGGATGCAGGCGCCAGCGCCACGACGCTTGCACACACAACAGGTGAGACGCCAGCGCGCAGCGGGGATACTTTCGATACTGTCGATCGGCTCGAGGAAAACCGTATTTGCAAAGCGCACTTCGGGAATCCATAGGGCGCAGACCACGTGGGCCCAGGTCGCCGGCCGGTCGGTCTGCTTGAATGCACCACCTGTTGAAGGATACGATAATCAGATCATATATCATATCAACTAAATATATGCATATGTGTAATTAGCAATTTCAATGTAAAAATCGTAATGCATTGTATTCTATCTATTAAATATTAAGAGTACAAACTTAGGTTAAAATATTGAATATCACATTTATGTATATTATCAAATTATTCATTGTTAAACATTTATTGGAGCATCGGACAATCATCGATGCTTTACAATAGATGTTATTTATTTAGAAATTTAAGTAAATAATACCATTTAAAATTGTGTTAAAATTAAATATTTAATTTTTTTTTTTTTGCAAAACATGATAGAATTGTGTTTAAAATTTAATAAATTACAAAATTATTAGAACCTCGATTAGGACAAAGTGCACAATCAACAGCTCTGGATGGGCTTTGTAGACATCTCCTGCACAACCACTGGCCTTCTGGAATGTAAGGAACTCCATAGCAGTCTTGGTGTACAGCTAAATTACACATATCGCAAAAAAGGATGGCATTGCTATTTTGACACTCTCCGTCCATGCAGATACAACAGACTGCATCTTCGTCGGCTGCTGTAGCAAGTACTCCCGCTGCTCCACCTCCATTACTTTGTTGTTGAAAATAAGACTCTTTTTCTAAACGATCCATCAACAATTCGAATGTGTCTGGTTCTAAATTTGGCGTCAACCCTGATGCGGCACGTCGTTCATTTACTATAGACAGCCATGCTGAGTCCTCTTCGTCGAGATCATATTCGACTTCTCCTAGAAATATTTCGTAAACATTAGACATATCTATTTTTATTCGATAAATTTATTTCAAAGTTTTAATTACAAGGTCTTAAGGAACTCCAATTAAAAGAATAATATTAAAATCGTGTGAGAATAACATTCTATAGTTATGATATAAATATTCTATAGTTTTGTACATTTTATACAAACATATGTGGAAAATTAAAAAAAAAAATAATGTAATAAATTACCATCGAGTTCTTCTCCGCTTCGCTCCATAAATCTTACATACGAATTTGGAAGAGGTTCAGCCTCGCCTATATGACTTTCATAACCATCTAATTCTTTAGCCACTGCCTTTGGTAATGAATTTAATATGGCCTTATCTTCCTTTTCCCTATCAATTGCCGATCCACTATTTTTGTAAGATATATTTTTGTCATCCGCATCGTACTCTTCCTGTGATATTATAGGAATACTGTCATTAAAGTTAACTTTATACGGCTTATTTCCATCTTCACGCCATGGTGACACCTAAAAAGAAATGCGTTTAATTTTCTACTTAAAATTTTCACAAATTCATCAATATTGCTATACGATTTTTTAACGTATGACATTATTGGAAAATAAATACTTTTTGAAAAGATATTGATAAAGAAAAAAAAAAATTAAATATCAAAACAATAATGAAGCAAATTTTTCTTAACTATTTAAAGATTTACTTTACTTATGATAAATGATATTAGCCCCTAAATTAGTTTATTGTTATTAACTAATATCACTTATTAAAAGAAACACTTTTGTAAAGCCTGGAATAAATAACAATGTTATCCTTATTACAATTGTATAATTAAACATACACGTGACTATAGTTAAAGCACAATTTACAATTAATTCTCATTCGTAAGAAACAGAATCAAATAAAAATATTGTCAATTTCACGCACTATGCTCTTAAAAATTAAAATAATATCCATTTCACTCATTATTTCAAACGAATTATCAAACAGAACGATAAAGTGCCGCACAAACAAAACTATGCATTTAAATGTTTTAATAACATTTGAAAAAAAAACAATCTTAAAGCATTATTGTAACAATACAGACAATCAGTAGTACATTAACAACAATATTAAAATACTGCATAGCCATATGAGACTATGAAAATCGACTTCTAAGGATAATTACATTAACGTGCTCCAAGTTATACAAGCTTTTATTCACATTATTTACAATAGGGCATTCCATTTCAAACGGTCTTCTCGTTTCATTCAGTCTTCGATCCAAAGGCAAAGTGAGGTTATGTCATTTATTTACTCTCGCTTGCACCATTTTAATGTAAGCATCAAAGTGCCAACCCGGTAAATACAACACGCGGATGACACATACGTACTTACTTCAGTGTACAATCTAAAGTGCATTCCTTCTAGGGACAGCACGCCGCGTTAATGCTAGCGAGTTAACTAAGTTCGAATACTCACTAAGGCGTATTTGCTGGACTCCTGAAGGGGCGTAGCATCGGCGCCACCGGGTTGCCCGGACGAGGAGCTACCGGTGGACGCCTCGCCGGACTTGACGAGTTTGCTCCTGTTTCGACCCTTCTTTTTGCCCGACTGGAACGTACTCGCGTTCCTCATCTTCTTGCGTCTCTTGCCGGTGCCGCCGCCGCCGCCGCCACCGCCGCCACCGCCACCGCCACCGCCGCTGCCGCCGCCTCCGGGCCGACGACGCGACTTGTTTCGGGGCCGCGCGGGCCGATTTTCTCTCCCGCACTGCGGCACCGTGTGTACCGTCGGCTCGACGCGCCTCAACCTGGTGCAACCGCGACGAATCCCGACGCTTTCCGCCGCACCTCTAGGACCGACAACCCGGTGTCCCTCGTCCCGTTCACTCCTGATCGACGACCAACTACCACCTACCAAACCGTCCAGCAAAGTTACAAACTGAAATTTGTTTTCCTTCTCCGCGATTGTCGTTGTTGACTGTTAGCTTGGCCTGGCTCTTGCGTTTTGGAGTGGCATAACGTTTATTAACGTTCGCTTGCAATTACCACTGTATTTTACCCGCGCTTTTTACACGTAACGACGGTCTTGTAATTTACCCGCATGCAATACCCCTTTTTTGCTCTTCGTATTTATGCACTTTCGGCTTACAATGGTCCCCAGACTGGACGTGCTTTTACGGATATTACTTATCACTTCCAAATATACGAGCATTACCTTTGGGTCGCCATCGATTGCTTATAAAATATATGCATATCCCCGAACGATTTACTTATATTTTTTTGCAGCCCTTCCTAATTTGTATCAAAATTTCTATGATTTGCATCATTCAATCAACAACAGCTACACTTCATCATTTTTACATATATCTAAATGCATTTACAAAAATATATTTATATAATATGCCTGGCTATTAATTGTTAATCATGCACGCACGCACGCACGCATAAATCAATAATAAAAGGTGCGGTATAACAATAACGGCTAGTTTATGAGTCGTTCGGCGTAATTTTAATATTCAATATTTTATAATAAACTGTATTATTTTCAATTATAATAATGCTTAACTATGATGGTGATAAATTTCTTTCGCGTTTACATTTACACATTACACTTTTACCAAAAATCTTTAATAAAAATATTAAATGATAACAAACTGATTTGTACCAATAATAATAATGAATAAATAAAAAATATATTTAAAATAAATAAAAATATATTTTTACAACTCAATTGTAAAATTACATCAATTACATTGCACAACAAATTTTCTAATATATAAATAATATATCAAATAATGGCTTTCTATAACGTATAATAAAGTATTTAATGTTAATGTTTTACTTAATTATTGTTTATATTTTCACTTGAATACGTAAATATTATGTCTTTTATAGTCTATTTATATTTCCTAATAGAATATTTTTATTATTTCTCACTCTATAGTAGTTTAAGAAAAAATAAAAATTGAATTATATTAAATTAAAAAATAACATTTTTCTTTTAAATAATTTTTGCTTTTTATTTATTCAGTAGTATTTCGAGTTATGCAAATTTTTTACAATATACATTGTACAATAATAGCGACTAAGTATATAAATATTTTATCTTCAGTATTTAAAAAAATTAAATTTTTACATTAAAGACTACTTTTTAAACAAAATTATATATAATAAAATAAAATATATTCAACAACATTATGAAATATTTTTCCAACGTATTTGATCAGACATTAATAATAATAATAATGATAATTGACCTACATAATACAATTTACTACCAAAAAAATATAATGTTTTTTCATAAATATTTCATTTCATTTCCTATAAAGTAACAAGTTCATGAATTGCAAGTCACAATATCTAATTGCAATATGTAATAAAATGAATAAGGAATTTTTCCCGTCATAAAAATACAATGAAATTATTCAACAAGATAGAGTCATTAATAATAACAATTTTTTTATTGATTAATTAATTTATCATTAAAGCCCTTTAATATTTTAAAGAAATTTGTAAGCTATAAACGATTTTACAAATAATTAAATATTAAGTTAAATCATTTGCATTCTAAGATGCTGTAAGCTACAATACTAGAATTTGTAATTAAAATTTGTTAATATTAATAATTCATTCCATAACAAAAAATTAAATCGTTTGTTTAATTGTATTCAAGTTTGTTCTGTACGTCCGTCAAATTATATTAAAATTAATAAATAATAAAAATAAAATTTATAAATTTATTATATTTAATTTTTACCGATTTATTAAAAATTGATTGTACGCACACACGCGCGCGCGCACACACACACACACACACACAAATAATATAACAGAGAATAGTATGCAACAGATATATACTGTATTTACTATTAATATATTTATTAAGTATTAGATGAAGATAAAATTTCATTTTCTTATTTAATATAAAGTATTGTTAAAATCAAAAAATTCTAATACAATAGTGTTTGTTTAATATAGAACGGAAGGATTCTCAATTTTTTTTTTTTTCAAATAACATTTATATATTAATCTTTGTTAAAAAATTACATAAGTGTGGTAAAGTAGAATGATAAAAGATCGATCTTAATTATTCTTCAAAATATAAAGGTATTTGAATTGTTTTATTATAAAAAAAGTTCAATCGTAAAAATGTATTAGAACACTTAATTAAATAAATGCTTTAACAGACGAGGCGATCGATGAGACGAACATATATATATATATATATATATATATATATTGTATAAATCTATTATAAAAATATAAATAATATATTATATAGTATAAATCAGTTTGATTTTGTAAGTTTCTTATTACAAACTTACCCAAATATCATTTAATTTAATTTAATTCATATCATAAAATATGTTCGGTTCATGCACCATTGACGAGTGATTGAAGCACTCTAAACAAACATTATAAAAGTATTATATTCTATTTAAGAAGTCACCGTTAAAGAAAGGCGTATTGAAATTAATGCGACATTCATAAGACACAAGTTTCATCGCAATTAGATTTGAAATTTTGTAAAAAAGTCAAAGATTCTTGACTTAATTTGTAATCTTTTAGCACTCGATTATTCGTTTACTTATTTTTAAAATAGGGAATAATATAATGTTCGACAAATAATTATGAATATCTCGTAAAGTTTCGTTACTTTATCTCACAAGTAGCATGAAATTCCATGGCGATGTTAGGACGTGGAACGTCAAATGTGAGCTACTAAACAATAAATTCAGGTGTTGTGTAGAAGTTCGATTACTGATGACAGAGGGGAAATTGAGAGTCTTCATAGTCTGTCGCATATATTTACCGAAGCTTGCTACCGATAATCGCTTAGTCATATGTTTAAAGACCAACCATTTTTCGTTAAATTTTTGTTGAGAAAGTCTACTAAGCTTCTCAAAAAGAAAAAAAAATGGTTTACAGTCTAGCTTTCGGGAGATATTACAGTTTGGAATTTTAAATCCATTGTTTATATTTAACGAATCGATTGCGTCAAGATTCATGAATTAAGTATTGATATCATGTATAACATGTTTGCATGTCGTCGTCGATTCGTTAAATCAGCCTAGGTAATATAGCCTGACTTTTTGGAACGTCTTATATATATAATTTTATCGCGTATCTATTAATGAGCTGCTTTTCATTGCATAAAAATGTCATTATTCATAGTTGAAAATTATTAAATAAAAATAAGGTTTCCACTCAATAACTTACAAGATACAAAATAATGAATAAATAAGAAAGCCTTGAAATATGCACGCACCTATTATTTATCATTATAAAAAATATCTTTAAAGAAGCGCGAGTTTGACTCAAAGAAAATACTTGTTATTTAACGCTTAGTAATATTTAAAAAAGTTTGGAGTATCTATTGTATTAAAAAACAAAATTTTTTTTTGAATCACACTTTATGTAAAATTTACGTATGCTTATAAAAAAATCAAATAAGTTTATTTAAAATTGTGCAAATATGTAATCATTTTAAAAATAAAATATGTTCGTTCGACTATGATTTATGTATAAAACTGCACGTGTGATGTCTCTCTCTCTCTCTCTCTTTCTATGCGTGGGTGCTTGCCTACTTGCCTATGAACTTGATGCGCATGTGTCGGTTGTATGTAAAAAAAAAAAAAAAAAAAAAAAATACAAAAAAAAAAAAAAAAACATATTGGGAGGCGCGAAAAAATTAAAATATTTTATTACATAAATATATCTAGCTGATGTACATTCGTCGATGAAAATTCTGGATCGATGTTTGAATTTATAAAAATATAACAACAGCAACAGCAATTTAAATAAACTTTTCGAGTTTCGAAATATTAATAGGAAAAACCATTGCTACAACAATATAGCTCACTTTTATACAATTGGAATTTTCTTCTTCTTATATATAATCAATTTTGTGCAATAAAATCATTCATAGAAATTAAGTAATTGCAAATTATGTGGTTTGAAAATAAAAACTGAGTATGGTGCATCTGAATAATATTAAACATAACCGTTTTAGAATGGACGATAAAAATTTTTTATATAAAAACAATTGATCGTGATAAGTAAAGTATCATGATAATAAAAATACGTGCTACAGTGTTCATCAATTAATGTCTTTTATAGATTTTTAGAAATTGGAAAGCTCGGAAATTTTAACATTATTGCTGTTAAAAAGTGCAGAGAAGGTTGGAAATTTTGAGGTCGTGCTTTTTAGTAATACACAGTTAAACGGCGATTTTATTAATAACGCGTCGCTTTAGTAGATCTGCGAAACCAGTATGATGTAAGAGATATAATATATAGTGAAGCTTTATCGATGCCTATCCTTATATTTCTATTATTAAAGAATCCTTTATATTTGATGTGTAATCAATCTTATAAATGAGTAATGCAATTAATTACTCATTTATATTTAATCAAGTGCGCGGTTTGTTAATCCTAATTGTAATCAATCGTTATTTATTATTTCATAATTCATTGTTCAGAATAATTTTATAATATAATATTATTTCATATTATATAATATTATAATATTATAATATTATAATATTATAATATTATATATAATATTATTTCATAATTCATTGTTCAGAATAATTTTATAATATATTTATTATATTTGTTTCGTTCTTTGCGAAAGATTCTGTAAACTTCATCTTTTTTTTTTTTGCAAATTTGTTCAAAATTTTGTTAAAAAATATTTAACATAATACCATAATTTCTTAATATTATTTAAATGTATTTTTCACTTAAAAAATTTAATCTATAATAGTCATAGCTGAATTTTGAATAGCGTTTGCTTTATGAAACTTTGTAATACACAATAATAAGAGAGATTTAAATAAAAAAAAAAAATAAAAAAAAAAAAAAAAAAAAACAGAACTTCGCCTTGCCCAGAAAGTTAACATTTTCATATATTTCATGTAGGCTTTCATTACTGAATTATGTTTTTTAACGAATGCGATGACAGATAACAGCTGTATGGAAGATAGTGACATCTTTTGACTTAACGATGTATTTTTTCTCTTATTTTGATTGATTTATTGTCGTACGTTCGGTATCGTATTATTAAACGATAAAGATCAATACTGTAGAATGGGCTCGAAGCTGTGGAATGGAATTTAATATAAACAATTTGTACAATATGTATTTGGAAAATATTTTAAATTGCAAATTTTTTAAAGAATGTTCGAATTCAACGACGCAACGTTGTTTTTGTCCAATTATCTAGTTTAATGTCATGTTCGGATAAATTAAAATTAAGTCTTTCAATACTATCGATATAAAGATTATTTTTGGTGTCCTAGCGGAACGTTCCGGTAATATTGCCGCAATTTAAAACTTTCGCAGCGTTGCCACATACTCGTAATAATTCAACTGGCAACGTCATTTTATAACTATCCGTAACTTGTAACCAATAAATATCATTTCGACGAGTAATGCTAAAGCCGAGTATCCATACTGATTCGTATTGTAAAATTATACGTACGTATAATCGATGCCGGGTATGTAAAGATATCATCGTTAACGTATCGTTTAAAATGTCGCGATGCAATGCATAAGTTTGCAATGGTCCATGTTTGACCCAGGCGTCGGTTAAACTTGACTTTCCTTGCCAAACTACGCTTCCTTCTAAATCCCTCCCGCCGTTTAATTTAAAAATATCGGTGCTGGCAACATTTCGATATAATGTCACTGCTTTTATGTATCGAAGATAATTAAATTCGAATAAATATTGACGAAGATCGATTTCATGCACTGTTGATTGTGATTTGAAAATCTCAGTGAATTATTTAATTACTATTTACTGATGTCGTTAGTGGTAGTTTTAAATCAGTCTTATAGCGCTGTTAATGTAATTTTCAGTGCCTTATGTTTGCACATGAATTTTACAACCATTAATTTAAATTATTATTGGCTTTAAATGAAATTCAAGCTTATGGAAGAGTGAGTATAAATAGGATGCAATATTCTAATTACTAAATCGTAGTATTTTCTCAGCTTTTGCTAATATTCTCCTCCGTAATTGTTCTTATAACTATGAAGGTACAGATTAATGGTTAACATTAGAGAGCGAATGAGCGAGACAGACAGACAGATAGAGAGAGAGATAGAGAGAGAGAGAGAGAGAGAGAGAGAGAGAGAGAGAAAGAGAGAGTAGAGAGTAGAGAGAAAGGAGAGGGAGTGAGAACGTGGGAGGGCAGTGGGTGATGGAGCGGGATGACGAGGGAGAGAAGAAGAGAGTGAGAAAGAGAGATAGTAACTAAATAATAGGGTAGGTCGAACGTTGAAATGTGCACGTACAGCCGTAGGTCGCATAAACACGCGCACATGCTCATCGGCGCTTAGCACGCACACACGTGCACACGATAGTCCTCTCTTGAATAATCTCTGGGCTCGTGTCGCGGCGGTGGCGCACACACTTCTTTGTTCGTGGCCAGCTGAGCCTCGTGCACGGATACATCTATTCGATCCTCGAGAAAGAACGGGTGCGCGTTTATTTTTAGTTAAACCATAGTTGTATATTATTTGATAATAAAGTTCCACAGAGCATCAGACGCCGTGCATCGAATACATAGGTATCTACTTAAGTGCTTTGATAACGCGTGTTATTAAATTTACAGAGTAATAGAGAATAACACGACTGATCTGCTTGTTTTGCGTGCATGAATGCGTGTGTGCGTTTGTGTGTCAATGAATGTGTGGCCGCGCGAGTACGTGTGTAATTGCCTGCACGTGCGCATAATAGACTATATATATTTATATATATATGCATATGTATATACATATATATTATATACATATATATATATATATATACACATAGATATAAAGGTGTGTGCGTGCGATTATATATATATATATATAATATATATATATATATATATATATATATATATATATGCATACGTACATATATTTGTATTTCTTTTTTGTACATTATATACCTATATAAATATATTCGTATACATTTTTAATCGATAAATAGCGCCTATGGTCAGCTAATTTTCTCCCTCTGCCACAACCCTCTCCCTCCTCCTATTCCTCCTTCTCCTCCTCCTCCTCCACCTATCCCTCCATCCTATTTTCTCATTCTATCTGTGCGTATGCCTATCTCTTCCTGACACATGCATAAGGAAAGATAGGCCGAATTGTAAAAGCTTTCTCTCTGTTTTTTTCTCGCTTCAACACTGTGTGTTTACGTCTTTCACAGGGTGGGGTGGGGGACTAATGCACACATTTCGTGCAAAATACACAGCAGGCAAGACTCGTTCCTTTCTTCCTTTTGTTGTTTCTGATGGTGTGCTGCATTCTGAAGCGGTTTTTAAAAAGTTTCGTGGATGTACATGTTCGCATTAGGGGAAAGAAGTGAGAAAGAGCCGCAAAAGAAAAGAACAGACTGCGGTGGTGGCGCGACGGCAATGTACGACGACAAATAAACTTGCACGGTGAATATTTAAATTTTCGACTCCGATACATCGCCTTTGCCGAAAGTTTTCCAGGTGATGATAGCCTTGGAATTTTCAGATGATCTCACCGATGATTTGGCTTGATCCGTGCTAATGATCGATCCTTTTTTTTTCCTATCCTCGTCTTTCAGAAGCTTGTTGCTGAGCGGCGTTTGGTTTTTGGTTGTGTTGCTTTTTTTTTTGTTTTGAAAGAGCCGATTGTACAGTTTTGTTTTGTATTTTTAGTCAAGTTTCATTCTTGTTTATCTGAATTTTTCCTTTGCAATTAATTTTTTAAAATAATTGTTACTAAAATTTACGTACTTGTTTATTATTATTATTATTTTATTATTTTTTTCGACTACTTACGTTATAGTTCGAATAATTAGAGGTTAATAAATTGTTTATTAATGAACCATTGCCATGTTAACTGACTTATTATTTAAATAGTATTTATATTTTACAGTACATTGATTATTTTAATTTATTTTCACATTTCGAATTAATCTTGTTATTTTGGCATACGATAATTAACCGGGGTTTATTTGAATTGAATATTTCATCATAATATTGTAATGGCAATATCAACAGCTGCTGACATTATTAAATATATCTAATTATGAAGCTTTATATTATTTATCTATCGATTTATTTTTATCTTTTTAAGGAATAAATTATTTAATGTAATTACTATAATTGTGGCTTGTCATTCCATTTATACTTACACAATACTTGTTGTATGCGATATTGATTATTTGACTGTATAATTAAGATATTATTAATATTACTTCCAATGAAGATATGTTTTATCAAACTTATTATTATATTCAGTGATTATATACTGTAGCTTATGCTTTATACCCAAGTATTTTTTAAACAGTTCCAATACTGTAAATTATTTTATTTCATCCTCTGATAAAACTCCTAAGTTAGTTTTAGCTGCTCAATGGATTTTAATATTAACTTGTATTTTTAATTAATAATATTTTTTTTGAGGCAAAATTTACTATTTTTAATGATTCCAGTGATCATTATTATGAAAACCTTTTAAATTAACTTCTTAAATATTTAAAATCTGTGTATTATTCGTTTATGGTGACATTATAAATTTACATTCCAAATTATGATTCTTTATTATTGATGTTTTAATACAATTTTTTGAATTGTATGATATGTCGCAGTACTAGATTTAAATGTTTTTTCAACAAAATGATCTCATATGCATGAATTTCAAACTTGACCTTTCTCCTTTACTCTTTTATACTTTTGATAATTGAAACAGAATTAACCCATTAATACTTTTTAAAATAAGATCATTTTTTAAAATAAATGTTAATTATTGTTTTAATATTTTCTTTTCAGATGACAAATAGCCTGAAACATAACAAAATGTGTCATTAAAATATCAAATATAATAAAAGTTCTTGCGAAAAGAACGCAAAATTTTATAAAAGTATTTTTGGAAAATTATTTTGTTCATAAGATTATAAAATGTATATGACATGCGAATGTTTAAATGTATTCATAAAATGTAAAGGTACGGTATTATTTGTTCATAGTGTTAGTACCATTGAATTAAGTGCAAGCGAACGTGCTCATGATTTTTTTAATCATGTAAGTATACAATGATACAAATAATTGAATTTAATTTGAGCTTTATTTATTTTAGACAATTAAGCAATAAGTTTTTTTATTAACTTTGTTTGAAATTTAAAGAAATAACGTCATTATATTAAAAATGAAATTGTTTTATCATTCTTTTTAATTACCACGTGGTAAATAGGAATTGTATTAAAACATAATTTTTTAATTTCTTTAACTTTATAATGATTTCTTAGATTAGTCAGTCTAACGTAACTTAATGATATCTTTCAAAAAATATTTTTTTCTATAAACTATAATTTATTGAAAATATTTATATTTGTAAAGAGAGAAGTTGGTTCTGTAAAGGATTTGGAAAATATAAAAAACCAGCATCCCGGCTTAATAGAAATTCGAAATGTTGGTTCATGGGCTATTCATCGGTGCTGTAATTGTCAAATGTATACTCATGCAATACGTAGACAATCTGGAGCAGTCGTTATGTTCATTAACACTGGTGTTATTGTAAGTTTAAATTAATTTTCAATTTGGAAGTAGATTTAATATACGACATTAGAATCAGAATAATATATTTTCAATTAAATTAATTGCATACATTTATTCAATCATTTAATTAACAAATGAATTATAATATCAATTTTTTTTTTTTAATACAGATGAATAAAAAAGACATAGCGGAGCTGAGAGCAAGTTCCAATTACAGTCCAATTTTTAGGATAGTAATAAATGAAAGAGATGTAAACGAATTTGATCCACACGAGCATCCGAAATTTTCTGGTAAAATTTTTACTTTTATGAATAATTAATTTCATTATCAATACCAATTTATAGACCCCGAAGTTCACAATGAACAAATATAATTAATCTTAATATTAAAAACTTTAACAGTGTCTCAACTAGCTGCTCATGTAAAATTAGATCTTCGTGTACTAGATCAACAACTTGAAGAAGGCATTCAGCAACAGATTCATTTAGTAGATAAAAAAATACGTGCATTTACTAGGGAGCAATATCAAATTTTAGATGAGTTTCGGGAGCGCATTCACAATGAACATACTTTTCTCGCAAGGTATTTGCAGTTTAATTTATTTATGTAAATTTTAACTACGTAGATACATACTTATGAGACACTTGATATAAAAACTGTTTTTATTTAAACATTTTTGTACCTACTGTAAACAATTTTCGAATCAGTCTTTTTGTTATAATAAATTGATAAAATAAATTATCCATATTATTTTCTATATATATATATATATATATATATATATATATGGAGAAGTATGGAAGAAGTAACAAATAAGAAATGTTAATAATTACTTAAAATGGCATAGTATAAATCACATTTTTATAATTGTTCTTTTACTATTGATTATTAGATAATTAAAAATTATCCTTTATATTATACAGGTTGATCTATAATGCACAACAAACATCATGCTTTGCTTCTACATCAACTAATTTAGAAACTCCACCTCCAACACCCGAATCTTTTCAATTAAGCAAACCTAATTTAATAGACGACATTATAAATACGACAGAGCGGATCACTTCAGAAAATACACCGTTCCGTCAAAATTCTCCTTTGGAACAATCCAAAGGCAGTAGTACAGTTGTAAGTTATTCCGAATAATTATTCATTTTAAACAGTGATCATTTTTCTTGTTCTTACATAGTTTTTTTCTGCGTAGAATGGTAATAATGATGCTGTTATGCAAACAAGACAATTAAGCAGTTATGATGGAGATATTTTGTTTGTACTTGAGGATATGGAAGATGTTCCTTTCACAATCAAGCAATTACAAGCTTCTGATCAGGAATTGGATAGTGACGGTATAGATATATGACTTTTCTTTCATACGCACATTTTTCTTTTAATAAATAGTCCCATAAATTTTATTTTAACCATATCTCACTATTTCACAAATCGCTCAGTTTCTGAGGATGAAGAAATTGACATACCAATGGGTCCAAGAGTCGGTCATCCGACTTTAGCAAAATCATTACCTGTCTCTGTGCCTGCATTTCATTCCTATAGTCATCGTTTATTACAGGACGACGATGAAGAACAAGTGAGTATATAAATATTATTTTTATTGAAAGACGCATCATAAATCTATATTTTGATATCTTGGTTATATAAATTTGCAATTATTAAGATTAACGGGATTCTAAATTCATTAATGATGATGTAAATATACACGTAAATTTAATGTAAAATGTTTAATACGCTCGATTTAAAATATGATAATAAATATTGTAATTATAATTAAAATGAACTATAATTAAAAAAAAAATTTATAAATAATATTAATGTACATTAGTGAGAACTAGTTAAGATTTTATAGGGGGTGTAATAAAAATCAATTTACATACATACAAATTTTTGATGAAAATATTAAAAAAAAATTTTTTTCATTTTTTATTTATGAGTATTCTACAAATTGAGAATGATCTCATTGATTTTAAAACGCAAATTGAATTCTTCAACATTTGTGCATTTGTAAATGAATTTTACAACAAGAAAAAATTGATTTTATAATAAATAATTTTTCTGATTCTATCAATAAAAGAGGCTGCATTTATCTATTTAATATCTTGCAATAAAATTAATAACAGTGCTTAATATAATTTTACGTCAGTGTATTTTATCACTTTTTAATATATTTAAAATGATATTCTTCTTAGATTTCTAGAGATCCCATGGATCCTAATAACATACAAGCTTCTATAAAGGCCTTAGCCAAAAGCGTACATGGTGATACAGTTTTTGGTGATCTACCTCGTCCTCGATTTTCAACTCAAATTTGACTTGACGGGTTTAGTGATCGTTATAAGCATCTCAAAATCTGAAAAAAAATATGTGATGTTATACTTTTTTTTATTATTATGACATATGTACGTCAATCGTTATTTTTATTTTTTAATTACTATGAAATGGTAGCAGCAAATAAAGTTGCAGTAAGAAAGTGGCATTTGCATATTTTATTATTAAGAAAATTGCTGCTATTACAGGCTTTAAAGATTATTTTCGAAACTTGTCGGACACTACAAGAAGTCAGTCTAGCGAAAGTGTCGTATTATCGTAAGTGTTTTATACATAATGCCGATGATTTATGAAATAGCAGCAATTGTTTGTGATTATAATTTTATTTTTTATTTTTTGTTCTATTGAATTAGTAATCGTGGAAACGTACTTTAAAATGATAAATCCCACCGCCTCTTTTATTATTATTATTATTTTTTTAAATAAGTTTATAAGAATATTGACGACTGTTATTTAGAAAAGAAATTTAAATACTTGTTTACAGGTACAAAAACACCTTGAATTTTTACAGAATATATGTATTATAATGAAATGAATTTAGAAAGGCTGCTGCACTAATTATATAACATTAATTTTAATGAGCTTATATTATGTTTTACTTATGAATTGATTTAGCATGTAAAAAGTAAAACTTTATATACTTTTTTATGAACGATTAGTATGGTACCCTTTCAAAATAGATTTATTTTTGACAATTGTAGAATTCAATAATAAATACAAACATTGTTTGTAGCAAAGAGCTTTTTTTAATATTAAATTAATATAGTTGAAATATTTTTCTATTTTGTTATAAATAAATTTAATGACGTCCATTTATAGAATCTTAATTCATATTGTTCTCGTTATTTTATAGATGAAAAAAAAACAAAAAAAACAAAAATATATATATATATATATATTACATATTGAATATTGTCAATAATTAAATTTTAAAAATCTGTGTAATACTAATTATGGTTTGAGGAGTATTTACAGTGAAATTATAATTTTTTATATATTTTGTTTATTAATTTAATTTGTGTAATTATAGAAAAAGAAAAAAAATAAATAAAAATATGTTTAACATATCTGTAAAAAATTTATAAAAGTATATATTTTTATACAGGAATCAGTTAAATACATTCAATTGGGAATTTGTTGTTATGTTTTCATAATATAATAAAAGTTTCAAATTAAAAACAAAAAATAATATTTAAATTTTAAGCATGAAAATTAAATGTTTGACTGTAGGTATTCCTTATTAACTTTAAGAATCGTATGGTCTTGAACCAGTCTCTTCCCTTAGTAACACTCGACTGATCCGCTAATACTCACTAGCGAACAAATACACAGATCTACACATATACAAAAAAAAATCTTCGTCGCTAAACAACGAGTTAACGGTATATGTCTTGTAGACCAAAACTACCAAATGTGAATACAGAATGAAAAATTCGAACAGCTCGAAGTAATTGCATATCGAAACTGTTTGTAAGCTACTCTTTGCCAATAGGCTGAAAATAAAGCGATTGTTATAATAAAAGAGATTGTCTTTTCTTCTTTGAATGTCCTTGAATATATTTTATCAATTTAATATAAATAGTATTTATTTTACTTGTATGCTTACAAAGTTGCATTATTGTAGTACAACGATAATACCCAACATTAAATTTAATGGTATATTAACTTTTAAGATACATTCGCTTTTTCTTATTACAATATTTCATGAGTTTTATATTATTGGCGTGGTCGTTAAATATTTATTTTATATGCATATGAATCGATGACAATCATCAATTGCATTATATTATGACGCTCAAGTTACATTCGTTATCTTTTTCATATTTAAATAATTTTAAATTAAATGAAAATAAGTTCAAACATATAAAATATATAAGAATTTGCGTCTTTACTTTAGTAAAATGTTAACAAATTCATGAATAATGTAGGAGCCGCGCCTCGGATTTAACTATTAATTCTGATTACGACATTGTAAAGAAATATCCCATACGAGGCGTCTAATAGGCTTTACAAGGGAAATTAATTACGGTGTGTAGCGCATCGATGATTTCCAATGTGGATGCGAAAAAAGCACGATCACGGAGAAGACGATGGAAGCGACGTCGGGGAATGAGTAACATCGGTCAAAATGACGTATCCCCTCTAGCTCAGGCTGTCTCGCGTGCAACCGCTTAGTGGAATTTCCTTGAATGTCAGTGAACCACGGGCGCCTTGTTCTTGGCCGCGAGTTCCATCTGCGCGTTGGCGACGATCTTCATGCCCTCTTGGACGGTACTGAGATTCGATTTCCAAGCGGCTAGGAGATCGCGAAGTTGCAACCATTGAGGCCGACCGAAAGTGCGGTGCATTGTGCTCGAGACAAGGACTTTGCGCCCAGCCTGATCCATGCGTGCTCGGACTAGTTTTGTTTTCAAAACTGCAACACGAGAATATTTATCTTCTTATTTATCTGTCGAACGAACTTTATGGACTTTCTTCAAAATTCGTTAAAACTTATTTGTTAATGCACTTTGCGTTTAATTAACAAGTTCGTTCACATATATATCGAATAAAAAATAGACTGCAAATTTTTTTTTATAGTACTTATTTAATAGTGTTATTTTATTTTTATCTTGGATTGTATTAAGATTTTTAAATAATTTTCGGATGTATAAATGACAAATTTTTATTATAAAGTTATAAAATAACTTTAATTAGTAATTACGATTTATTGAAAAATGCTTTAAGCAAGCATAGTGTACTGTGTATTTTCAAAAATATCCGAGGTAATTAAAGAATCTATCTTGTGATATTAAGAAAAATTCGCTTTTAAATAATATTTGATCGTATTAAATGAAAATGATTTGATTATAAGTAATTTTTCAAATTTCCATTCAATAATAATTCAACAATAATATTGAACATCAGCAGTATATTTTTAATAATTTAAGTATTTTATATAAAATGTATGTAGAATTTATCATAAACAGTGAAAACAATTTAGCAATAATTTACTTTTATCAGCATTTTATAATTATGCGATTGACTTTCATAACGTGGATTTGTTTACTGAGTATGGAGTATATAATATTAAATAATATTAATTATTATCATAAGAGTAAATCATAAGTTGTTAAATATATGGATAACTCGATAAAAATGGAATTTCCATCGTGCCAGTACTAATTTCTTTTTATATATCCTGTTTTTATAGCTTCACTTGCTCAAAGTTTGTCGAGTAAGTTTATTACAGGATTTAAAGAGTATTAAAAAGTTAAATTACATAACATACCATCGATAATGAAACTTTCAACTTGGTCTTCTTCAATTTGAAGCTCAGACTGTATCGTTTGAAATGACATTTCAGGATTAGTTTCAGCCAATTGCATAAATGTCAATAATCTCATTTTCTTCATGTTTTGCTCATGATTCAAACCAAGATTACTCTCAACAAATTCTTTATGATCCTTATGAAACTTGAGATACGCTGGAAGTTTTTCTTGTACAAATATAAGTAATAAATCATGAATGAGCTCTCCCTCTAAAAATCGTACAGGCTTCAGAGCTAACAGTGGATCTAATAAAAACGTATTTGGATCAGCTAAAGCTGCCAAAATGCAACACAATGCATCTTCTCTCGCTGCGGAAGCATTTTCAGAAGTATAAGTACCTAATAATTCTACCATAACTGCAGCTGCTTGTTCACTGTAATAACAACTCTTAATTACTTAAATTTATTTAAGAAAGTAGTATTTTACTTTATGTTATAATTTTATATGAAATGTAACAATTATCGAATACTGTTAAGACATACCCCTGCTTACAACCGAGTAGAACTTCATGTAACAAACGAAGCAGCTTCTGCATCTGCTCGTTTGCTGGGGGACAAGTGGCAAATTGTTGTTTTAATTGATCGACTCCGTTATAAACTGCTTTGACTTGATCAACATTCCTAGCAATTTGAACTAAGTGATAATATACATGATATCTCATCGATGAATCTTCGGGTAGAGATTGAAAAAGAAGCCATAATCTAGAATGTTATAAACGATATCAAAATTAAAAATATATTAACAATGAAAGATGTTTCTAATAATTGGTGCATAATTAGAAACTAGTCTTCGAAAAGAATTATTTGTAATAAAAGGTACTTACGCTTTAAGACAAACTAATCCTAATTTATAACCAGGTGCTTTTGTCAGTTTTTCGCAAAAAGCTAATACTATATTTTCAGCACGTTCGGTTGGCACAAGAATCATGATGGATACAATATCGTTTAATATCGACTCGATTTCACTTTCGTTTCCTTCCTTGAAGCAAGCATCGCACACACCGATGATTTTATGTAAATCATCTTCAATTCCCTTTGGAGATTTTTCTTCGCTGATCTCTGCACCCAGGCTCTTAAAATAGATTCTCAATTCTTGAGCCTGCAATTTGTTACGCACTCGATTAATAAAATATAATTCTTTCAGTGGAATATCAATCAACAATTATTAAATATACTCGTACTTGTAATGTATATTATAATACATTAGCACGAACCGGAACAAAAGAAAAAAAAATATTCAAACACTTGGCATCTGGTATACATAACCTGAATTGCAGTAATGTAAAAGCGGATAAATATTTGTCTGAACATCCATTTAGCTTATTAGATTATTAATTACCTGATCCTCGGTGGTACCATCCATAAAAACTGCAGGACCTTGCATCTTTGCTGCTTTTTATTAAAACTTCTCGAACGAAGGTTCAGCAAATTTGCCGACTTATACTCGTGGTACGATTAAGGTCCCAATGAACCGTAAGACCAATCCTTACGTATAAGCATACGTAATAACGCAATTTACAGGCTGAATTACGAGGCTCTCTGACGACGTCATGTGACGTCTCCTCACGTCCCCGACGTCTATCCAAAGTGCATTCGTAATCTACCGGTTGAATTGAAATTTTGTCGATTGAAATAGGCTTTAAGCGATCATTCGATAGTATTAAATAACAATTGTCATATCTTAAATCTCACTCAATCATAATAATCAATAGGAATTTAAATAAAGAATATTAGATGTAGATTATAAAAGAATTTCGATCGTTGGGGCGTAGAGTAATGAATTTGAAATGTAGAATAAGTGACGCAAATAGAGAAAGAATATTGCTGGAGAGAATTTTCAAAATAAAATCAAATCACTTGATCCGAGGTATTAAAATTGACAATAACTTCTTCAAAAGTCGTAAATATATGTCATTAATTTATATAATTTTCTTATAAAACGCACGACAATTAAATTTTCGGCAATTGGAAGAATAAGTGAAATTTCGTTCCAACACGCGCCTTCTTTTCCATTACTTAATTTGAATTCAAGTGATCCCCCATTATAAATGGGCCATTAGCATAACATGACTTTCGAATCTGTTTTTCGTCGCCGCCGGGGAAAAAGGCGAAAATCTCGATGTCAGCGCCACGTATAGTCATTGTATTATTGAAAACACATTTCATTATTTGTGTTGCCTATAATATTGGAAAAGGCATTGTCGGCGACATTGACCAGTGTATGGTCCGTCTATTCCGTTATCTCTCCATCTCCTCCCAGAAGTTGTGAATAAAATTAATAAAATTAAATTTCAATATTAAATTACATCCGCATTCTCAATAGCGCCAGACGTACAAGTTCAATGAAATTGCAACATTTGCCGCTTGATATTTATTGTAATAAAAAAGTATGCCTTAGTTCAACCAGCTGACGGGGACACGTAACTTTCCTCGCCGCATACGCGTGAGGAGCAGAAAAATCGTTTTCGCCAAGATTTATAAGTTATTTACCCTCTTGTTTTTGCTAGGATCGTTTTTCTGGCGTGAAATTTTATTTGGCATCGCTATTGTGAGCAATCGCCTTACTAACCTAAAACTAACTTCATCCTTTTCGTCATATAAACTTTATGCTGTAAAAGTGGAAAATCCTTGCAATGGGTAAGTTAATTTGTATTAATGTTTATTAATGCCTATTTGATAGTGGGACGTTATCTGTTAATGATTATGATTTCAATTAATTTCATTTTTTCATTTTTATTTAGTCGGTTTTACGTGTAAGGGGTTACTTTAAGGGTTACTGTTATTAATTTTATAATTGAATACCTACTGGAAGTGAAAATAATAAGATGTTATAGAATAATAAATCACCTGTCCCTGTAACATCGAATGTAACATCGAATTTCTCATGTTAATGTTGGCTCTAAATTTTTGTTTTCTCATTCTCAAAAAAGAGATCAGCCTACATTTATTAAATATTTTATATACAAATTATATAAAAAATAAATAATGCTTTATAATACATTGTGAATAATACCTCCGCTAGTACTTTTGCAATATTACCGATACACTTATACTTCTACAAAGTTGATTAAATCAATTATATTTTTATCACTTATTTGTATAATAAAGCGTGCATTATATTTCCCTATTGTATCCGTTTAAACGAACCAATAAACTAATGACGATTTTCCTTTATTTATTATTGAATATATTGTTGCTTAATCTAGGTGGATTACTTAGTTATTTTCGCAATCTCCTTGGCAGTCGAGAGATGAGAATTTTAATTTTAGGTCTAGATGGTGCTGGTAAAACAACAATTTTATACAGGTAACCCAAAGATTTATTATTTTCTTAATGCCTATGTCCATATCATTGTAAATAATTTTTAGATTTTATTATTAATGTATTTTAGATTACAAGTTGGAGAAGTAGTAACTACAATTCCTACCATTGGGTTTAATGTCGAACAAGTTACTTATAAAAATCTAAAGTTTCAAGTATGGGATCTCGGTGGTCAAACAAGTATACGGTAAAATAGTATTTATTTTAATGGTTTTATTAATAATGAAATAACTCATATTTATTTATAATATATTTATTCTATGCATTTTAGGCCTTATTGGAGGTGTTATTATTCAAATACAGATGCTATCATTTATGTCGTTGATTCTGCTGATAGAGATAGAATAGGCATATCCAAAGATGAATTGTTATATATGTTGAGAGTAAGTATACATAAATTTGTGAATTTCCTGTCACACTGACTTAATTTACCATTGACCCTGATCTATAGAAAGCAATCTTTACTTTTGTCGAGACGTTCACCATTAATTATTGAAGAGAAAAAATTTAATATTACGTATTTCTAAATGTATTTTCATCTTGACTTTCAAATTACTAGTATGAATGATCAGTGGTAAAACAATTGCTCGAACCAAGTCCCTATTTCTAAATGGATAAATAAATTGACTTTTAATGGCTCTATTTGTCGCCTTTCTCAAACGTACTTTCGCGTACCATCATCTTATTATTACTATAAAAAATTGCTTTGTTCCTTCGCTATTAGTAATTGAACGTTACGTATTATTTCCGGCTTATACTTTTTTACATAAGAGTTGTTATATTGAACGCCACTTCATAGTTTTCTGTCCTATTCTCTCGTTGTTTGTTCGTTACGAGCTTGGTGTCTAAATTGAGAAAATCTCGCCACACTTATCGACACTAATTCTATTTATTTATCAGTACTTCATATAATATATTGTGGAAATGGGCGATGCCGGTGATTTCGATAAATAGTGTAGATAAATGATATGAGATAAGAGATAAAGAGAAAAATTATAACATAGCCTATGCCATTATACGATTTATAGAACTCCTGATAGTGTTAAAATTTTACATTATTCCGTTGCTTCGTCGTAAGATTTAGTTATTCATTTTAAATCTCTAAGTAGGTTGCCTTTGTTTAAAATCGTCATTGGTTACCAGATCCAACTTTTATCGAGATATTTTGCAGTAATCGATTGTGTATAGTGTTTTATCATTAAATCAGAATTACACATCTGGCATTAATTTTCGAATGCATAGTCCTCCCTAATGTTTTGGCCATAAATCTGATTTTATGCGCCAGTAAAATGATAATGTTTCATCGAGTAATCTAATGATATTCTTTATCACGCTATTGTTTATTATTATTGTTTTGTTATTAGGATTCTCAAGCTCCATTGCTGCATAATCTTTTAGCTTTTAAGTAAATGAATATATAAATATATAATTAGTATTATTGTTTTTTGAAATGTAAAAATATTTACTTTTTTGAGTAAATTTAAGTCATGATTTTTTCAATTCGAATAGCTTAAATTTGAATTGCGGAATTACGCTAATCAATACGGTTTAAAAGACGTGTGCATATTTCATTATAACTATATCTCGTTAACAATTTATGTGGAATCAAGTATCTAGCATTTTTCGTGCCAAACTAACAACACATCCATTTTTATCGTGCATTCTTCTCCATTCCTTGGGTACCAACGATAAACTACTGCTTTTGAATACCACAGCTTGTAGATTTCTCAAATCAATTACGAATGAAGGAAGAAAATTATCGAAGGTCTCAATATCTTTATTCATTATCCACACTTGTAATTATATCATTTTTATAGTAACAAAGTAATTATAAAATTACATAGGTCCAATGTTATATAGCTTGTAGCAAGTAAATGAGTGAACGTACTTGTTTATCCATAAATACTGTTACAAACGTTCAAAGATATGAAAATTTTGATGTTGCTTCGTAAGATTTAAAATAATATCATTAGTTCTCTTTAATGGAAGGATTAACTAATTAAGAGGACATATTAAGATATTTTAGAGACAAAAGTAATACTACAATAGAATTATGAAAATCTTAGTTGCATACTGCCTTGCTGTAAAGCTGAATAAAACCAACTAAATTTGAATTTAAATAAATTACATATGATTGTACATATTTAAGATATAACATTTAGAATAGAATTAAAAAAAAACACATAAAAAATCACTTTCTTTATTATTATTATTCCAACTTTGATTAGAACAGATGAGAAGACACATAGAGAGATGTGCTCACTACGTGAGTAACGAGGCTAAATTATTGCAATTGACATTTTGAGACATGAACTCATTTATTTGGATATATTGTTATATTGGATTAGAAGTGTATAAATTAAACCAAAAACGTTCTCCGAGTAGATTAATTTTTTAGGCGTATTATAGAAAATAATTGTTATAATGAAAAAATTCATTTACTCCTCAGCATCTAAATTTAGAAAACATTATAGTAATTATTATTATTGGATGAGCAATTTCAATCATAAATTCGAGAAACAAATTTTAATAAAGTATGAAATGAGGCGATAATTGCATGACAACTGATTCATACGCTTTCAGTTATGTGTAATCACATACACACGTGACCTTACGCATACCATTAGATAATACATAGGCAAGATATCTCGTTATTTCTTGTGAAACGACAAGCGCCCCCTATCGTTTCTCTTAAGCGCGAATATTAAATACCTACTGCCTATCATAGATCAAATACATTTTGAATGGATTGATTTAAAGCTGATTAATAAGTACATTAAATTAAATATATTTTCTATAACATTAGCTCATTTTAGCTTTTCTATTAAATATTAAATTAATTAACGCCAGGGATATCTTTGCTGTTATTCTTTCTTATGACTATGATATGACAGGTCACTTGGTCTCTCTAAAACTATGATAAATAAAGTGATAATTAATAAAAAAAAAAGAAAGAAGAAAAAACATTAATTCGAAGGGACGCATTGCACATAAAAATGTGCAAATTCATAGTTGTAATTTAGTTATTGTTTTAATGCAGTTAAAGTCTTGTCATTTTTCACAAAACGCGAAAACAAAAGCTTCGATTAACATCATATTTAATATTTTCAGGAGGACGAGCTACAAAATGCGATTCTGGTAGTTCTAGCCAATAAACAGGACATGCCTGGATGTTTGAGTGTCGCGGAAGTTCACCAGGCGCTGGGCCTCGACGCCCTGAAGAATCGAACATTCCAAATCTTCAAGACGTCGGCGAAGAAGGGCGAGGGTCTCGATCAGGCCATGGATTGGCTGTCCAACGCGTTACAAGTTAAGAAATGATCGAGTGCTTGGTTTAAGGATATATTAAGAAAACGATTTTTGAAGTCGGTGACAATGGAAGGACTAGTCTGGGTGGCTACTGCCGTGTAAATCCATCCAAATTGGCTCGATGACGTGGGACGATACTTGTCTTGTGACTCTTGTGCTAAAGAATTAAAAACAAACCATAAAATGCAACATTAATTAAAATAATATGAGAATCTATTCCGAGAAAAAGTCTGAGAGAAATATACAAGTAATTAAATGTATATTTGAGTAAGTCCAGATAACACTGTTGTCAGTGTTAGTAATGCGATTTGTAATTACGCGTGACTCTGCTCCCCTTGTATTTTTGCAAGATTTTTTTCCATAGACTAGTACTTTAACATGAAATTTCCAGATAAATAAATATATCGTTGTATATTTATTTATTTGAGTGAATGGTAGAGTAAAGTGTTTTAAAAGCCTACTTTTATTACCGCTGTTCGCTGGTTCGATGTTTATCGTTTTTCTAACGAAGCTGCAGTTACTGCACAAATTTCTTTAACAAAGGGATCATTTTTATTACTACGTTTTATAAGGAATACCAGAGCTTGTGAATGTTGTATTAAAAAAATTTACAATTTAATTAGCAAAAGCATAATTTTTAATAATGCAATAAAATTGCACGGATACTGCAGATTCATCAGAATAATATAATTTATACAAACTAAAAAAAAAAAAAAAAAAAAAACAAAATTAAAAAGACGCTATTTTAGATATCTTATAAGTTTTATTCGAAAAATTATCATCAATGACGTGTATCGGCATCGACTTATCATCCACTTATCATCACTCATTTATTTCGTTTTAATATTTTTGATTAAAATGTTTTCATTTGTAACGCGCAAACAAAAAATAATTTTTTCAAAATTTTTATGCTTGTATATTTACAGATCTAATTAATTAACCATAGAAAATGTCATAAAAGTTTATTTCTATTTAATCAGTGATTTCTCGACAGAAGCTGGTAAAAAAAATTTGCTATTATATATTTATTCGTACATAATATTTATTTTAATTGCTTTCATCTTTTTATATAAAAATTCAGTTTCGTTTCTTTTTAATAAGACTGCAAATTATATCTTTATTTTGTTTAACATTTTCTACGAAATAATGATTGTTAATCATATAGCCAACCGAATTATTCGACCAATTTCGAGCCGTTTATGAATCATTAAACAGATTTTTTGAACACACAAACAAATTAATTTCATTTTAAGATTTTCATTAACGTATATTTTTATCTCCTATAAATTATTCCATTTGGATTAGAATAAATTTTTATCAAAATATAATTTTATGTTAAAATGACAATGGATAGTAGAGACATTAGGTAATGACATTTTCATAAATTGTAAATTTAATGTTTTGCGGATTAGTTTCCTTAGCTTCATTGGAACTTTTCTCGATAAAATTTATTAAAAATTTGAAAAATCATGTAAATTTATGTTATTAAAAACGATTGGAATTTTTTAATGTTTTTGAGAATTTACTTTTTGTACATTGTTTATATATTTTATAATAATTTGTTCCAGTATAAAGTCAAAATTAAAATGACTTTTAGCAGAAATTTTAATATTGTTTTTACATATTAATTTTTTAATTTCATCAGGAATATTAGATTGGGTGTGATATAGTTTGTTTTATATAACAATGTGATGCTACAGTATATTAGCGTATATTAACAAAATTTATGAAAAAAAAAATGATTATCCCATTAATGAAGAAATATTACAAATTCTAAATTACGATTATAAGAAACAAAAAATATTAATAATAAATGTATTCATTTTTATTTTTGCAAGACACTGAATTATTAATGTACGCTTGCATTTTTATTCATCTATTATATAATGTATCATATATTCGGTATCGTAATACATAATAACTTTGGCACAAATATCAATGACAAATGAGGAATAAATTTTAGAACAAAATTTTTCCAATAATGATTTTATTATTAAATATAATTAATTGCTTTCATTAGGCTTCAAATTACATGCTATTTAATTTTTACTAGCCTATCATTATACACAGTCAAATGCAATTTCTTTATTTTGTATAAATAATAGATAGCATATATTCTGCTGTTCATGCAGTATAAATTTTAAAAGTAGAAATACAAATAAAATAAGGAAGAATTTTTCCAATGACGTTAAATTCATTCTTTAAAATTTTATTTATTGCTTATAATGAATAGTATTTATAATTCTATACTATTGATATTATCGATCCAAAAAGCGGATCCAATAATTTTTATTTATTAATATATTATAAATGTTTAAAAAATTATATGCTTTATAAAATGATGATATAGTTAGGAAATAAGTAAAAGACAAAAAAAAAAAAAAAAAAAAAAAAAAGAGAAAAAAACAAGAAAAAAAACAATACTACTACCGTTAAAATTTTAAAGCACTTTATATCGGACATACATAAATCCAACCTTTATAAACCCTGTAGTAAAGGTATAACATTAAAATAATTAAATTTCCCGTTTCCTTACGTAGCCCTACTACATCATAACCAGTCGTAAAAGTTTTTCTTTATTTGTTGGATTGGTCCTGCGCTTGTAATTATAACGTAGTTTGAAATAATAATTATTTTATTAAAAAACTAAATAGTTATCAAAATAATTATATACAATTTTTTTATTGTAAACTTTAATTTTAATATAGAATTAATTAGAGACACATTTTAGTACATGATAAAGTTTATTTTTTTATTTTAGACTTTATAAAAATTTCAATAAACGTTATGATTTTTATTAGTTATTTTCCGATGTACTAATGTTATGTTGCTAATATATATTTTTATTATTTGAATTTGTTTGAAATTTTTTTAAAAACCATTGCGAAGTATTGCTAAATGATCTCTTTCTTAAATAAATATTATTGTCCTGATAGCCCAAATTCGAATATATAAAGCAAGACAAAAGAAATTATTATCAACAAACTTTAATTAGAGCTCGGCCTTTCTTAATAATTTATTTTGAATTTTTTGTTTTTTACCTATAGTAGTTTCTAATATTATAACATTCATTATTATTCATCGAAGAATCTACAAATTGTATATCTTAACGGAAGAATTATTCAATATTAATTATTCATAAAATGATATATTTAAAGTATATTTAATTTCATTTAAAGTGCTTAAATATACGATCAATAATTAGATATAAAATTAAAAAATTTATGATAAATAATAAAAATCATATTTAGAGAATTATAATTTTCATTTTCGCATAGTTGTAATTTAATAATTTCTTACATTGCATTGTCAAATGAATATTTTTGTGAATACATATACAGTATTTAGTCAGTATTATAATAAAATGCAATTTTAATCTAAGTTCATATTATGTTCGTTTGTACATTTTTCGCTAAGCAATTAAATTATTCACTGCTATTGATTATTATTTAATTATATATATATATTTTTTTTTAATTCTTTTAAAATATATTAAATGAACACGTACATACCCGTGAAAAGCACTATTCTTTATCATTGTTTTGTTAATCCAAGATAATTATGTAAGTTATTTTAATTTAATTTATAGATAAAAATTAAATAATAAGTGATATTTAGTGAGCCGAGTAGTCGATATATTATAATGAAAAATTTTAAGGATAATGGAAATAATGCCGAGAGTTATTTCATTTAATATACAACATACTTTATTACTAATTTTTTATTATCAATAATTTCATTTTTTTATACAATCCCATCGTTTTGTTTATTCCCAACGTTTCTTTGTTAGCCTTTTTTTTTATTCTGTCTATTATAATGTTTTATGTTTTATACAAAACAAATGTATCCATGAAAAGTTAATTTTTCATTAATTGACGTTCGATCGATATATATATATATATATATATACATTTTTTTTTTAAGTTTAATAAATATTATAGTAAATTGTCTAGTAAGCTTGGCGCCAAATAATAATAGAATTACAAACATTGCCGCTATCTATGAAAAATTCACAATATTGACGAGAGCATAAGGTAACACAATAATTCATAAGTTGCGGAGCGCGTGGCTCGGCACGTGCCTTGGTTTGCAGCTGTGGTTTTGCTCTCGCTAACAAGAAGCTGCGCTATTGGAATTTTAGCTACGGAGACGCTTTAAACAATATGATATATAAAATCTTCCGACTTTATTTAGTGTGCGCTATTAAATTCCGTTCCATCTGCTTAAACTACTTTATTTATATCAATATGCTTGCCTTTGAAGATTTGTGCGTATGAGAATTCTTACAAATATGTAGTATGCTTCCTTAAAAAAATTAAATTTTTATTCTTCAAATTAATAATTATATAGTTAAAGCTGGAGGATGGCTAAATTAAAGGGATTTACGTATTTGTTTGATAGGGATTGAATTATATATTCGATTAGAATATATTCTTTGATAAGTACTTAGTTTGATACTTGGATTGATCATTAGCGAGACATTGAGAAGAGAAATGATTTCATGCATCGATTAATTTGCAGGACTAATTATTTATAACAACCTAATATATATCGCTATAAACTCTAGAAATGAAATTCAGGGCAGCCTTGCATCGAGGAACTTGTTTCTTCGAGAGCCGAATTCGTTTCACACAAGGGAATTTAATCCACGCGAAAGCCACAGCAGCAGTACGCTGCATAAGAAAGGAGTATAACTATAAGAATATGTATAACAGCGGGTGACGAGAGTGAGGTAGGCGAGGGGGCGAGGATTGAAGGCGGAAGAGGGAGAAAGGTATCCCTAGCTGTGGATGATCGGAGCGGCGCGCGCTACGTGCGCCCCCTAATTCGATAATGCCCACGTGGCTGGAATGGAGAATGAGAAAGGAGGGCCCAGAGAAAGGGACGAAAAAACTAAGGACGGTGGGAAGGGATCGCGGATTTACGAGCCTCGGGCCAAGGTGTGTGCTCCAAGGCGGGTGAAGGAAATGCGCGGCGACCCGTTACGCAGGCCGGACGTTACGTGGGCGTGAAACGGATAATTTCCGTCTCGGATCTCCCGGGGCTTGTATCGGGGCCTGATCGTATATCAGAGGGCCGTGAGCAACGACGGCGGCGGTGGCGGTGGCGGTGGCGATGGCGATATATACATCGGGGGTCCAACGAATTATCGAAAAAACAAGGGCTGTAACGGCTCAGCCGTACCCGCAAGCCACTGTTTACGAGGTTTATACAGTGTAGACCAAAAGTTGGCTGTCAATGGGATATCTTCGTCTAATTTACAGCGAGTCGTGTCCCAGTGCTTTATTGGGCTTTCATTGCTCCTTAAAGGAATATCAAGTGGCCGCTACGTCGCGGCTATGATTAAGTTTCTTTTCCTCTCCATGACTTTTTTTTTTCGCCCCGATGGTTTCCGAGCGAAGGCAATTGGCCGCTAGAACGACGTCAAATTAATGGGCATAAATTTTGAAAATTATCGTTTCTAAGCCATCGCCGATAAAACACTAAGGATCTTATGTAGGAAGGTATTTTTAAGAATGGAAATCTTCGATATTTCATAGTTACGATCATTTTGGTACTGCGGATTCCTTACCCTCGAATTTTTTCAAATCGGTAATTTTCTGGAAATTTATGCATCTTAATCTTAATGATTTTAATTCTTACCGGCATACCCTTTTCTCGAGATTTCAGAGTGGAACGAATTAAATTTAACTCCTCCCACGCATCGATGCACATTG